TCTTGTAACAGTTTAAAAGCATTTCAGCACTGTTGTCTCCAGTACACATCCCAGATTCCTATTTTGAAGATCCATCAATGTAAAAACATGGACTGGTGAATGAAGATTTGCATTATACAAATAGAGAGTTTTGTTGAAGCCAGGCAGTTTGAGGTGTAGGAAGACTCTTCACTCTGGTGGCTGCTTGTTTGGGGGACCTAAATTGATGTGTTTTTAGAGTTTAGGAAAATCTGAAATGAAATCATATACTTAAACAGTGCCTTCGTTTGCACAATCTATAGAAATCTTATGTTCAAAGTTTTGATATTTTATTATGATCCATATATAATACTTGGGATAACTGTAAAATGCACAATCACCCTAACACCACAATTGCTGGCTTAAGTAATGTATATAAAGAACAAGTAACAAGAACGTCCCTTTAGGGGTATTTTCACCGTCAATTTTCTAAAATTTGACTAGGATTACCTTTCTAAAATATGAATCACATTCTAAAAGTATAGAAGAAAAATAATGCAATTTAATATTATGTGTATTGCATGAGTGAATTTAAAGTTTATAGTTTTAAAGCATGGTTTGAGGAGTGGGACAAATGATAGGTACAAGCTGGGAATTACTTAGCCTATAAAAAGGTAGGGAGCTTATTTTGGGGAGTGGAAAGGAGGTTGAAAAAAGTGGAATGAAGAAAAAGTTATCGTGAAACATAAAGAAATCCAATGCTTCCCATGTATTTAAAGTAGGGCTCTTCTCCTCTGCTACGTAAAAGCAGAAAAAATAAAAAGGCGTAATCGTGTGTTGTGTCCCTTGTTTGCAGGGTGTACTCATTTTCCCTTTTTCTTCTTTTAAATCCTTACTACGCTATATAAATTCAACAAAGCCATTTTGCTTTCTTTAACCTTTCCCCTTTCTTTCTAGTTTCTAGCTATCTCCCTGGACCCCCAAGAAATCCCCGTCAAATTTCACAATGCGAATCCGACATGCCATGAAGCTAATGGCTATGGCGTTTCTGTCCCTGCTGTTGGTAGTTTCTGCAGAGAATATCACGGCGGCGGTGGTGGTGGGCACGGCCCAGAAACCATCTTCAACTTCAGCGCCGCCGCACAGGCATCACCGGAATCACCATTTGAAGCAACGCCAGGTGTTCTTACCAAGCAAGAGGAGAGTCCCTAACGCCTCTGATCCTCTTCACAACCGATGATGATATGATAGCACGCATGAAACAAAGAAAGAAACGTTCGTTCGTTCGTACCGGCCAGTGAATGGTTAGGCTATGAAATTTTTGTTCGGAAATATATATATTTCTCGGTCGAGTTTCGTAGGGCAGTCCGACAACCTTAGAAAAGGAAGAATTCATGGTAAATCTGGGTGTGTAAAACGTAAGAGCATATATTATATGTTGTTGAATGAAAAAATGTGTGGTTTTTGAGCAGGGACAAGACACATGATAGATGTTCTTTCTTTGCTGGTATGATGATAAAGATTAAAGAACCTCGTGAATTGCAGACTCTGCTCTGCTTTTTGTAGTAACAGTGAATGAAGCTTTGCGTGTTGCTGTATGTATATGTATGAAAGGTATTCAAATTTCAATACAAACGCTATCATCATCATCATGCATGTATACTAAATTAAAGCATGTAATTTGACTGGCTTTTTCTGGGCCTTTAAGGATTTCTTTATGAATATATATATTATGTTTTGGACGCAGGCTCTTTTCTCTTCCTCTTTGGCATAATATATTTGTCCTTTTGGCACTGTCTTTTTGTTCTCATCTCTCTCTCTCTCTTCTTCTCCATCTTTATTGTCCCGTTGAATAGTCATGATGAAGTCGCATCGTTAGTACCACTGCTTCTGCAGCGTATAATATGCAGTTTGCAGATATTCTTGAAATGCCGGATAGAGTTTCCAGTTTGCTTTATTCATATATAGCATTCTTTCATGTCAGTTTCATGGCGGATTTATGCATGCCACCTACCCAAACAATACGCCACCCTCATAATAATACCAAAAATTCTTCTCAGAAAAAAGAGAAGGTTGAATCCCAATTCTAAATGGGTCCCACGCCTGACTTAGCCTGGGCCAAATGCCAGCGCACACCCATACTGTTTTTGTCTATGTTCAAATTTTGGTCTCTTCACTCAAATACTATATCTGAACCAGTGAGTCAAGCCGGCAAAAATTCTACAATACTTCTTAATATAATTAACAATTTTAATTAATTAGCATGTTTAGGCATGTTAATTAGCATTGTAATCCTCCATCAGGTGATGTTTAGCTTTTAAGGCTTGAATTGGGCCAGCAGGCTACTTTTCGTTTCTGCCATTTTAATTTCTTTATAGTTTCGATTTTGATGATTTTACTTTATTAAAGTTCAAAATAATCGTCAATTATTATGTAATGTGATTAACATATTTTATCGTTCTAAATGGATGGTCACATAATTGAATTCCGATAATAACCCCGTAGAATAGATACTAACAGCTCGTTTGGTTCGCTGGAAAATATTTGAAGAAAAATGGAATTGAAATTCCAAAGAAAACAGATTCCATTGTTTGGTTGGTGGAAAAGAAATTACTGGGAATATGAATTTCATTGTTTGGTTGAGTTTGGAAGGGTAAGGAATAATGAGTATAATGACAAATATAACCCCACACAACAATAATAATAAGAGTAATTAATAAAGGATGGTGAGGGTAAAATTGTCATATTACCTAGCATAAGCTAGGAATTTGTTTTTCTTGTTCTTAAGGAAAACTTTTTCCAATGGAAAATGTTTTCCATCCAACCAAACAACATAAAACATCATTTTCCTTCACTTTTAAGATAACATTTTTCATGAAAAATGTTTTTCATCCAACCAAACACCCCCTAATAGTTTTTAATGAGATGAGTATTACTCTATAAAAAGTTATTTGAAATAATGAAACAAATTTAAATTTATCAACCAATTTTAAACAATCATTGAATTAGAAACCTGAGAGACCAAAGACTGGATCACTGGAGAAACAGGTTTTTTTTTAAGGTTAGCATGATAGTTAGCATTGCATGAGTAGAGTAATGAGTGATAAGCACGTTTGTCTAATTGTGCTTTGCATAACCTTTACATCGAGAACCAAACCACCAATTAGCGACAAGGCGTGTACATACTAAAGGTGCTAAAATAATAATGCTCGCCTAAGTTTAAAGACAAATATTAATATTAACTAAAAATTAGTTTGCCTTATGTGCGATGGATTCAATTAAAAAGATATTAATATAATAATTAAATTTATAGATTTTAAGTAAAAAAAAAATGTTTTATTTCCTTGATGATCTTTTTTTTGGGCTATTATTTACATAATTCATTCTTACCAAATTACAAATGGTTACTTAAGGACTTAACTAGTAATTGGGTCAAAACATAATAGGGTATAAATTTTCTCATTTTTTCCCAATAATGTCATAGCAAGAGGAATGCTTAGTAAAATATAATTTAAAATTATTTTGTTAAGGTTTAAAAACAAACCTTAAATATTTCTTCTTCAATATTTTTAAAACATTACCCAAGACTATATGTTTTACCTTAAATATATAAAGAAGTCATTTTCATTAAATAAAAATCTCACACAATTTTTGAAGATAATATCCTCAAGCTAGGATAAACAAGCTTTTGTATTTTTTTTTTTTAGTACTATTGACTATGTTAATTACAATGTAGTATTCGTCCATGTTCCACTTGAAATTCAAATCTATGACCTCCAATTTGGGAGAGCTACAGTTATGTCACTTGATCACAAGTTTTTATGATTTAAGACACGTATACATTATTCAAAATTATATATATAAGTTTAAAATATAAGAATTACACATATAGAAGGAAGGAGAAAAAAAAATATTATTGTTATGTACATAATTGTTGGACAAAATCCTAGAGAAATTTATGCTTATACCGCTTTTAATATGCTTTTATAATCTAGGTAGTTACACTTGTTTATATAAGAATTACAACTCTATCTACTTCAAGCCTATTCCTATATGAATGACAAATTTTATTGCGTACCGCGCGGTCCACAATGCATTGTGATCTAGATATCAAAACGGTGTCATTTCTTTTAATGAAAAAAAAACAGCACACGTTCCACAAAAAGTAACTCTGTTTGTATAACATATTCAGTTTTATTTTATATACACTGCAGTTTCATTTCAACACAACTACAGTTTCATTTTGATATAACTACAGTTTCATTTGACATTAAACACTCAAATATGTAAACCTGTTATTCAGTTTCATTTTATATACACTGCAATTTCATTTCAACATAACTACAGTTTCATTTTAATTCAATTATAATTTTATTTGATAATATAAAAATAATATGTGATGCATTTGCATTTTAGATATACTGTAGTTTCATTTTGTAATTAACACACAAAAAATACGGGCTCCGTTAATCTGTAACGGCAGCTGTTTTCTTACTTAAAGAAACAACGCCCGTTTTGGACCATGGTCCACGATATAATCAGTCCACCGTCCTAGGTTAGCCCATTTAAGAGTTATACCATGGACCAGGGTCCACCTTGCAAGGTGAATCTTGATTCTAAATTGTGTGCTTTTAGTATTGGAATTAGGAATTTCTAGAATATATAAATTTGTTTTCAAGTTTTAGAAATTTGTGAATACAATATATCAATACAAATTGTGAACCTTTAGTATTTTAACGGGTAGAAAATGACTTTTAATACAGTAAGTGTGTTTCAATGTCATTAGATGATGATAGGTGTTGAAGCATAGCAAGTTGAACAAAGCATAATGTTACATGAATAATTTTAAAAATGTACCATTAAGAATTAAGATCATCTATAAATATGATGTTGGTAATTTGGATATGATCTCCTTTGCTTCTGTGGTTGTAAGCTTTCAATAGAACCATGTAAAATCTTATGTTGTTCATTTTCTATTCTTTGTTCTTGACTTCCTAATCTATTTTCTCAACAATTCTTATCCACAAGTTGAGAACATTTGAATTTTAGTAACTCTAACAAAGACTTTTATCTGCTCGTTTTTTATTATAATTCATTAATTCATATTGAACATGTTTAATTTGCTAGCATTTGCAATAATCAATAGCTTTCTTTAAGAATATGAAGTTCGAAGTTGACCCAAACAAGTATTAGTATATAGACTTTGCAGAGTTGCATATTGGCCCAGTAGAAAAATCTGTTCTTTAAGCTCCCCCTTGCTTTTCAGATCTGATTAATTAGCTCAATCATGGAGAAACTTGAATACTACTATGCTGCAGGTATACTGTCTCTTCTTCTTCTCATTCTTCTCAAAAAATCTGTTTATAATCGCAAGAAAAATTTACCACCTAGTCCGATTGCTCTTCCGGTGATTGGTCACTTTTTCCAGATCAAGAATCCTCTGCATCAATCTCTCGCCTCGTTATCGGCTAAATACGGCCCTATTTTATTCCTCCGGTTCGGCTGCCGGTCCATTGTTGTCGTGTCGTCGCCGTCTGCAATTGAAGAATGCTTCACCAAGAACGATATTGCGTTTTCAAACCGGCCGCCGACCATGGCGGGGGACCGGTTGACTTACAACTACACTGCCGTTGTATGGGCTCCGTACGGCCATCTTTGGAGGATTCAACGCCGATTAACCGTCGTCGAGCTATTTTCTACCGTCAGCCTCCATAGATCCTCCGTCATAAGGGAAGAAGAGGTCCGAAGTCTAGTCCGGTCTCTGTTCAGAGCCTCCGGCGACGGAAAATCAGCCGTGGACTTGAACAGCCTGGGAGGCACGCTGACTTTCAACGCGATGATGAGACTTGTCGCCGGAAAACGGTGTGTGGACGAAGAAGATGTGGGGGGAGTGAAAGGAAAAGAAATTATTAAAGAAACCAGAGGGGTTATCTTTTTCAGTGAACCAGTTATGAGTACGTGTGATTTTTTCCCAGTTTTGAGGTTGTTTGGGTACAAAGGGGTTGAGAAAAAGATGATCTTGTTCCAGAAGAAGAGAGACGAATTCTTGAAGGGTTTGTTGGATGAAACCCGACAGAAGAAGAAAACATGTTCTTCTGATTATGATGTTCTCAAGAACAGGGATAAGAAGTCTTCAATGATTGAAGTCTTCTTGTCCCTTCAAAAATCAGAACCTGAATTCTACACAGATGATCTTATCAAGAGTGCCATACTGGTCTGTACATTTATTTTCCTTGTTTATATGCTAGCTAGCAAGCTACTTATGTTGATTCCAAGGTTTTGTGCTTCAGATGATGTTTGTAGCAGGGACGGAGACCTCAACAGTAACCGTAGAATGGGCAATGACGCAGCTTTTATCTCACCCGGAGGCAATGCAAAAGCTGAGATCCGAGATTGACAACAACGTAGGAGCTGAACGTCTGGTAAACGAGTCTGATCTTTCCAAGCTTCCCTATTTGCGTTGTGTTGTGAATGAGACACTAAGGTTATGCCCTCCCGTCCCACTTCTCTTACCTCGTTATTCAACCCAAGATTGTGTGATCGGAGGGTACGAGGTTCCCAAGAATACGACGTTAATGGTTAACGCCTGGGCGGTGCACCGGGACCCAGAGGTGTGGGAGGAGCCGGAGAAGTTCATGCCGGAGAGGTTTGAGGCAATGGAGAAGGAAAAAGATCAAGGATTCAACTACAAGTTTGTCCCGTTCGGGATGGGGAGAAGATCCTGTCCGGGAAACAACATGGGTTTGAGAACAGTATGTTTGGCATTGGGGACATTGATTCAGTGTTTTGACTGGGAAATTGGCGGAAAGGATAAAACCGCCGGCGATGTCATCTCGACAATAACTATGCAGATGGCTAAGCCTCTGGAAGCAGTGTGCAGTCCTCGCAAAACTGCCATTCCATTTCTCTCCCAACTCTAATGTTTCATGTATGCTTAGAATGTCTGTATTATGAAACAAAACATTGTGCACATGTATGTTTCTTGTTACAATAAAGTTGATAGTAAATCAAGAATTGGTCACATGTTTCTTGTCTTGTTACAATAATGTCTCTGGCATTGTACACATGTTTCTTGCTTCAACTCCCGAGGAGGGTTGGGTTTCATGGTTTGAATTGATCAACTATGACCTCATATATAAATTACATGTAAATTTCTCTCTTGACTCAAGAATTAAGCTTGTTTAGCAATCAGCATTTAGCGGTTAACAAATAGCGCTTTGTGTTAGCGAGTTTGACCAACTAATTGTATCAGTGATTTGTAAAAATATGTTTGGTAAAATTAATGACCAAAACGGTATACATATAATAATAATAAACAAACTGATGTGTAATAATAATAATAATAATAATAACAACTGATGTGCGATCAAATGATCCCACATCAAAATATTAACTAAAAGGAGTTAAAGGGGAGCTCAAAGCCCCGTTATTTAATCCAGCCCATCCGATGTGGATAGGCAGGGGCAATTTATATCTACACCACAGCGCGCGTTGCACTATGCGCCCAGATGCAAAACGACGTCGTTTTAATTTTTTTTTTTTTTTTTTTGAAATTTCCCGCCCCAGTGAATGACAGTAGTTTTTTCTTTAAAAAAAAACCCCGCTGTTCAAAAATGTACATAATGCTATACAAGAATACACATAATTGTATACATGAATGTACATAATTATATAACAAAATATACATACTCTTTTAAAAAGATAATACACATAATCTAACATAATACATAATAAACATAAACTTTTAACATAATACACATCAACTCTTAACATAATACACACAAATTTTCTGATTCGGATGTACATAATTGTATAAAAAGAATGTACATAACTGTATGAACAAATACACATAACTTTGTGAACAAATACACATAATCCCAGCAACTTCCTACCGCGCCTCCTAAAACGACACGTCGTTTTGGGAAGCGCGCGGCGCACAGTGCTATGTGCGCTGTGGTGTAGGGTATAACGATTGATGGGCAGGAGAAACAAATTTTAAAATAAAAAATAAAAAATTTAAGGGTGTTTTTGGCAAATGCCTAAAACGTCAATATGAAATGATGCTAGTAGCAGCGTTTCAGATTTTGGCGGTATCCGCCGCTCCAAATTGCCATTTACGAGCGTTTTGACATGATCAAAACGCTGAAAATAACAAATCTGTCAAAAATTTGATGAATCCGCTAATAACCAAATAAGGCCTTAGTTCCTTTGAAGTAAAGTTTGCAACTTTTGGCTGGCCTGCAGTACAAAATTGTAATGTCACTTCATAATCTCAAATCTGATTAAATCTTTACTTCAATTTTAATGGCACAAATAATCTATCTCTCACTTCAGAGTTCAGATCGCCAAATTTTTACCATGACCCGCCGCACTGAATCACTCATCTCGACCCTAAGATGAAAGATCCGGGTTTCTGTGCTGCCTCTCTTTAAGAAATTCTATGATTATGTTCTGCAAAGTTGGTCTATAAAATCTTGAGAGACTGATTAATGATTGCAAAGGCACAATGAGTCTTCATGACCTCTAATTAGTCAATGTCTTTTAAAGATTTTCAGGTTCTCAATAAGATTTGAACCTCTACATTGTTACTGGATCATGACCTCTGGTTAGTCAATGTCTTTCAATGATCCTCAGGTTCCTAATGAAATTCAAACCTCCACACTGAAACAAAACTTTTGGTGATCGATCAAATTAAATTAATTGAGATATTCTTGCGCGGCGCATGTATGAATATATTTTCCATTTTCAGCTTCTCTAAGACCGTAAAAATTACTGAATTTAGGTGTCTAGATTCTCCACAAAGACCAAGTCCAGGATACTGGCTTTAGTATTTTGCCTCCTCAGATCAAAGACTACAATGGTTGACAACTTGAGATTCCTTCACTACACATACATCAAATTTATTAATTTTATACTCCATCATTTCATCGGAATATTAATGGGTGGTGATGGCGCAATATACCTTGCTTGAAACGATAACCCCTCCTCAGTTCTTGTGATGAACAGATGATCGAGACTTCCCATTACTTTTCACATTAATTGAACATTGATTCCTTTCAAACAGTATCACCAAATCTTCAATGTTGTGCACGCTTAATATGTTATTGGAAGATGACAATGCTAGAGCGCGCAAAGCTAGTAGAGCCCAATAACAATTGGTTCATTCTTCGAACCCGAATCGGGTTTGCTAATTGAGTCAGGGTAAGAGTAATTGCTCTAGATGTTTCATCGTCATCACAATTAGTAAAAGACATCATATGCTTTCGGGGACGCAGGACTCTAATAAGCCAAATCATGTAATCTCTTTTTCTTCATTTTTGTTTGCTGTTCTTGATCTTTTGATCTCGTTTTTGTCAATATTCAATGCTAATTAGACAACTAAAGTAGCTTTTATTCTATCTTTCTGAGAAATCCAAATACAAAAAAAAACAAAAAAAACAAAAAAACAAAACAAAACAAAACAAAAATTTGTGTGAAATAGTTTCAGGTTTAGACTGAATAATACTGTCTATACAAGACCAAACAGACCTAGATAGGTATACTATTTGATTGTTGTTCTCAAAAAGTTGAATCCTCAACTCCAAGAGCTCTTCACGGCTTGGCCCGACAGAGCATCTGGGAGGATGATAAATCATGGTAACTCAACTTTTACTTGATTATTGTTCCTAAAAAAAGTTAAATCCCCAACCCCAAGAGTCCCCACATACCGACCCGACAAAACATATGGAAACAAGGTAAATCAATTCGATCCTACAGAACATATGGAAAGATAGTAACTCAGCTGAACACAAATGGTAGGTGAGACTTGATCCCGGGTCATCCCAAACTATACCGTATGCGGGCATGTATAGTATTTGATGACTATATGTTGGGGGTGAGTTCATTGTAAAGGGAAATGAAGATACTTAGCTTTAATACACAGGACTAAAAATGATGTGAAAAGTGTAAAATCATGAAAATATCCCTACATAATGCAAGTATATATACAATCAGACATGGAAATACAGCCCTAAAAATGTACACATCTCTATAAATAATGGTTTATGGTGTAAGTAATTTACAAGCTGTGTGTATATATACTTCAACATATCAATCTTCGTTCTACAAACTACCATGAAAGGAAAAATGGCAAATTTTGTGTGTATACTTTGATCAGTGACCACTGCCTTTCTTGCTTGGACCAGAAGCCAACACGAACGCATTATTGCTCTTGGATGCACCGCCGCCCGTTCTGCTATTAAAGGAGTTGGTCGTCGGCTTCCACGGCGGCGGCACACCGGCGGCCTTCTTGTTCGCCGTCTCCGCTAGTAATACCCGGCACTGAGCCGTGGCGATATGTGCGGCCGCCATTATAAGCAACAAAAATCCCAGAACAGCATAAAAGCTCTTCATTATATTGATGAGCTTTAATTTGTTCTGGGTATTATGTGGGATTACGTTTAAATAGTTCCAAGGTGATACACAAAGCATATGTGTATATATACAAGTGGCGATATAGAGAGAGAGGGACGGAGAGGTGAGGGGACGGTGAAGGGCGAGCCTCTAAAAGTGGGGGATTTGATTAATTGGAATAATTCGAGTTAGCTTTTGTTTTTGCATCTAATATTCTAAATCTCACGGATGGATGGCCAGCTAGCGTAGAAATTGGACGTAAGGACCAAGTGAATTGATAAAAAGGGTTCAAACATTCCCCACAATATAATGTTTCAGCTTGTCTTGACCCAACTTACGGTGAAACAAAAGGTCGGATATAGCCGGTAGCTGGAACATGATTCTCAGATTAGGAGTTTGATTCTGATCAATACTTTTTTAGTTGATTTTGTCACGTTAGATTTTTTTAGCATAGTTTATCTCTTTTGTATAATTGATTATTACACAAGAATATAATTTATCTAATATGCATATCATCAGATATCGATTGTGAATTCATCTCATGACCTTAAAAAAAGTAGATATTTTTTTGCTACCACTCATTTTTATATTGTTTCTTGTCTTTTGAGGCTCAAGAGTCATGAACACAAAGCTGAAACAGCGGTAGGTCTAGTTAAATGGATTGGTGATATAAAGGTCCTGTTTGGTAAAAAATTAGCTTATAAGTCAATTTTAGCTTATTTAATCACTATTAATTATTTGATCTAGTTAAAATATCAATATAAATGTTTGATTAATTAGCTTTTTGCAACTCCAAAAGGCTAAAATCCAAAAAGCTACTCCAAACAACTTTTTCAATTAACTTTTTGAGAAAATAAATTATATCAAACAGCTATCAGCTAACAACTAATTTACAAAACGTTTTTTTACAATCAGCTATTGTTATCAATTATTTATACCCTCTAATTAACACAATCTGCTAACAACTAACAACCATTTTATCAAACAGAGCCAAAATATTTTCGTTCTCTTGTTATCAAAATTTAAACTCACAACAAAGATCAAATAGTAAAAGTAAAAAAGAATGTATCTTTTTATATATTAATATGTAACTATGAGACACACGTATTAATATTGGCGGAATAACACAATAGTGAATTGATATGATTATAATTCTTATTTAATTTAAGGTGATAAAGCCCATCTAATAAGGAATCGATTTTTGTTATTTTAGTCATAATTTGTTTATAACAAAATACTCAAGTATATGCATATTATTCGGCAGACACATTTCCAAAAGAGTGGGGAGGACTGATACCTTCTTCTTGTATTGTATATATATACATACTAGTTTGAATAAAAATGTTTTTCCAAGTTTTAATCCAGGGACCTTACGGGGTATTAAGCCCAAAACGTCTTTAGCCTTCTATATATGATGAGACCAAATACCAATCGTTGTATCGTGCACCAGGGCGCACAATGCATGGTGCGGCCTATCCAAAATAACGCCGTTTTTTTATGTTAAGATTTTATGTGTATTATGTTAAGAGTTTATGTATATTCTGTTAAGAGTTTATGTGTATTATATTATGTGTTTATATGTATTATGTTAAGAGTTTATATGTATTATGTATTATGTTAAATGATGTGTATTATGTTATGAGTATATATGTATTTTATTATAAATTTATGTACATTCAAAAAAGAAAATTTTTTAAATTTTTTTTATAGAAATACATTATGCGCCCTGATGCACGATATAATTTGTCACCAATACTCATTTATAGTTGGGCTGTGTCACAGTATTGAATGTCCAGATAACAAGTGGGCTTGGGCTTGGGCTTGGGCTTGGGATAAAAACAAAAGTTTATATGCGGTGGTTGATGTAGGGACAAAATGTCAATTCCATACAAGATTTCCCTGTGATATTGTTGGCATCTTTCTAAAACAAGTATTCCTCTTTCCACTTTTAACCTCTTCCTTAACCTTTTGCTGTTCTCTTTTATCTTCATCTTCTTTCATACACTTGCCAGATTTACCGTTCGATCTTTGGTCCAACGGTTAATAATTCAGCACACAAAAGACAAACCATTGGTGTTAAATTAAATACCTATTAAGGCAAGGCCAAATTGCGGTAGAGTTTGGTAAAGGGTAATTAAGAGAAATTGCAAACATAAATGTATGTATGTAAAGGATTTCATATTTATCTCTACTATTCTTACCAAACATTTTGGAAATAGTCTCGCACCAAATAAATAAGACATATCACCCAAATATGGAGCAATGTTAAGAATATGTCCTTTCTTTTATAATTGGAACGAGTGGCCGGAGCATGATTTTTGCACTAAAAAAGTCACGAATTTATTCTCGCTAATGTTTTTTCGACCGAGTCCATTACACATGTTCTTTCTAGTGTAGTTTGTGGATTATTACATTTAATAGGGTTTATCTCTTGCATATTTTTGAGTACAGACAAAAACTAAACTTGTGACTTTTAAATACGAAAATCACGTTTTACTTTTCTTATTGTCGATTCAAACTTGTGCTTTTTCCCCAAGCCTAGTCTATGAGAAGATAAATTGAATCAATCTATATGTACATCAATATGTACTTTAAAAGTAAGTCTTAAATGAGACTTTTATTAACTGTTTTTGGGACAATTTTTGTATTATAATGTTGCAAGGAGATTATTGTCATTTGAGGAATCCACTCCCGGAAACGGCATTCATTTCTCCAACTTTCTGATTGTCGATAATGATAAAGAAAGCCCCATATGCATGTGATGCTGCGTAATTGTGGAACCACTACATCCCATTTTCCAGCAATCCCTATTTTCTTCAAATTATATACCTAACCTCGGAGTTGCACCTTTTTCCCTCTATATTTTTGTTCAGATCTGCCGATGAAGCGGCCCCATACTCCCGACGGCGACGGAATCCACGGTCTGAAGGAGGAGGAGGAGGAGAAGAAGAAGACGAAGGTGGAGGAGAAAGAGTCCGGGCGTACGTTAGCGGCGACGGCGACGGCGGGACCGATGCCGACGGAATCGGTGTTGTTGGACGAGAACTTGCTGTACGAAGTGCTGAAACACGTGGACTGGCGCACGCTAGCGTGGGCGGCGTGCGTTAGCAAGCTGTGGAAGCGGACGGCGCAGGACGAGCGGCTCTGGGAGCTGATGTGCCTCAAGGACGGCTCCCGCCGGAATCAGCAACAGCAGCAGCTCCGTAACGTGGTCCTCGCCCTCGGCGGCTTCCGGCGGCTCTACTCGCTTCACCTCTGGCCGCTAGTTAAACCGTCGTCGTCCTCCTCCTCCTCTTCCTCCTCCTCGCCGGCATGTACCTGGCCTTGCCTGCCCCCGCCTCCAAAGCCTTCGTCGGCCAAATTCGCCGCCGGGAAAACACGGTGGGGAAACGACGAAATGAATCTCTCGCTCTCCCTCCTCTCGATCCGGTATTACGAGAAGATGAATTCCAGTAATCGTCACAAACAAACGTGATAAAAATCACCAAAATTTGGGCTTCACTTTTATTATTATTCCTTCATATTCATCTATGATCTATCTGTATTTGTTTTTAACTCGATTTATATCATTTGGATTAGAGATCTGTAATGCTTGTATTGTATTGTATGCTTTTGATTTCCACGAATTTATTAAACTTACATCTCAACTTGTCTCCTAGCAACTGTTTTCATATGTTTTTATTTTCATTAAAAAGAGAAGTCAAATCACAAGTATATTAATCACACTTATGACTTATCAGCCGCATTTCTCCATTATTCTCACAGGCCACAGCCCTTATGATAGCAATAGGACACTCATTGGAGTATTGGACCAATCCTAATTAAGTTATTTTTACTTTCTTAAATGTTAGATTGCATATTAAGTTAGATTACTGTATTTGTTTTAAAATTGAGTCATACAATATAAACATGTTTGGTTGAAGAGTTGTTTTTTTTAATGTTACAATTGTTATTTCACTTCAATACCATTAGTATATTTTTATATATTTTAATAGATTTATAAATTAAAATAAATAAGGCAATGATAAAATATAAAAGTGAATAATTTAAAATTAATTAATTAAGAGTTTGAGTTTGAAAAACAATGATCTTGTAGTTCAATGGTATTAAGTTAAGTTCTCATATCAGATGTTGTGAGCTGAGTTTGAGCGTCGGTAGAGATGCTATTGGATTGTTTTACCAAACACAGTATCTTTTATCCCAAATGCACATTTGGATAACTTGTGAAAGTGTGCTCCATTTTCCGTTCCATTTTGATTGAAAAAAAAAAAAAAAAATCTTTTCCCATTTCTGTGGAGAATTTTTGGGACGAAAAATCCTGTCTCTATCAACTCCTATATATTTTAAATATGAAAATCAGGAATATACATAGGGTGGGGCGAGATGAGGTATCCATTATGGGTGAGAATTTCGATTCTGGTTATCCGAATCGGGTTGAACTAAATCGAATGGTTAGATTTTAATTTATTATTAAAATTCGGTCAGCTCTATATTTTATAATTCGAATAGTTTCAATTTGATTTAGTTAAAAATCAAACTGATTGAAGAACCGAATGATTTTTATAAATACATACATACATATATTATTTATAACCATTTTTTTAATATTTACAAATTTACCCATATATATATATATATATATATATATATATATATATATATATATATATATATATATATATATATATATTATGCCCTTGATCTTGGATTTTATTCCTCATTGTTGCTTCACTGTACAATGGACATCATTTATTGGAAATTTTATGAATCAATGGTTTTAATACTAGTATGAGGCATTGACAGATTATTGTTAATGAATTGATTTTCTTGGGATTCCTCTCCCCCCCACTCATTTGTCTTGTCTTCTGATTTGGTGTTTGTAATCTGCTGCAAATTGTAGCGTATTGCAGGACGCTTGGAGCAAGAAGGGAATTCAACTGACCTTACAGTGAAGAGGGAGAAATACAGGCAGAATCAGTGCAATTAGGTCTTGTGATGCAGCACTTCCTAGAGCTTGGAAGGACAATGTTGACACAGAGAACCTAGCTAGAGTTAATGAACGAAGAATCTCTAGCTGATTAAATGGTTAGAGATTTTCTTCCTCATTTATTTGTGAGCAGATAGTTGTATTACCAGATTGAAGAAAGGATGAATCCACAAACTCAAAGCTCTTATCTAGCAACATATGATTTTGTATATCAAACTAGATGAATTTATTAAAAACTAGGAGAATTTTCCAAAAAATTCCATAGGACTAAAGTAACTAACCCGAAATGAAAATTAAAATTCCTGTGAAGCAGAACCGATGTCCTTCCCCTTTCCTGATTTGTTTGGCAAGAGATGTTGATGGATGTTGGGCAAAACGCCGCCGTTAGCAATGGTAACGTCGCCCAAAAGCTTGCTCAGCTCCTCGTCGTTTCTCACCGCTAGCTGTATGTGGCGAGGCACAATCCTGTTCTTCTTATTATCCCTAGCAGCATTTCCCGCCAGTTCCAATACCTCCGCCGCCAAGTACTCGAGAACGGCGGCAAGGTAGACCGGAGCACCGGCGCCGACGCGATCGGCATACTTGCCTGCTTTAAGAAAACGCGCGATCCTGCCCACCGGAAATTGCAGGCCAGCCTTTTGAGATCGGGATGTGGATTTGGTGGCCTTGGGCTTCCCTCTGCCGGAACCCGCAGAACTCATTGTCGCTCGCAGAATGCAGATAGAAGAGAAAACAAAATGCACAAACTTCAAACGCTCCCTAAACACCGATCCATTACCACTTTCAACCATTCATTAAACCCTAAAAAGGTGCTCCAGCTCTAATTAATCACACATTCTTCACATTTCCATCAACATTATAACCATTCTTATCATAATGTACCTTTCTTTGAATTAAATTTTGAAGGAATTTTCAAATTTTTTTTTTAATCACATTTCATTCCCCATATTAATTACCTTAAATTCTAGACAACATTATGTTATTTAAAAATCAGTCTTATTTTAATTGCACAATATAACACTAAGGGTCCGTTTGGAAAGTAGGAAAATGACTTCTGAAAAACTGTTTTTGTATGTTTGGTTCATTTTCTGAAAAACGAGTAGAATTGTATAATTAAACATTTTAATTATTTTATTTAGAATATTACAACATGTATAATAATATATAATAATAATTTTAAATATAATAAAAAATAACTAATAATATATCAAAAATATTATGGTGGTGGTGGTGGTGGTGTAGTGGTAGTGGTGTTATTTGTTATATAATAATAATAATAATAATCATAATAATAATAATAACTGGTGGTGGTATGACGGTGGTGGCGGTGTGTATGGCGGTGGCGGTGGTGTGATGGTAGTAGTGTGGTGGCAGTGGTATGGTGGTGGTGGTGGCAGCGGTGGTGGTATGGTGTTGATGGTGTTGGTGGTGGTAGTGGTTGCGGTGGTATGGTGTTGGTGGTGGTTGCGGTGGTATAGTGGTGGTGGCGGCGGCAGTAGTGGTGGTGATGGTGGTAGTGAGGTGGTGGTGGTATGGTGTTGATGATGTTGGTGGTGGTGTGATGATGGTGGTGGTAATGTATTTTTCTTTAACAATACTAAATTGGTTGTTATATCGAACATCACATACTGTTAGCATTTATTATAAAGAATTGTGTTATAACATACCACATGAGATTTAAAAAGTGTACATTAAAATAATTATATATATATACACACACACACACACACACACACATATTTTTATAAAAAAAAAAATTTAATTAAGAAATCAAACAATATACAATAAAAAATTATGAAATTAAATTTTCTTATATATAAAAATATTTATTAATATGATTTGTAATTAAAGACTATAGTACATATACTTGACAATATATAAATAAATTAAAAAGACAGTATCATCATCATACATTGAAACTAACTACGAAAATCTTTTCTTAAACATTGCTTAATAATAATAATTATACGTACAACATATATAAATCTAAACTAAATATGAAATATTTCATGACATGAAAGAAAAAATAAAACCTGCAATGCTAAGCCGAATAAACATTTAATTATCTATCCATATAATCCAGTTACGTTGCATTTCAGCCCAATACCCGAGCCCATTAACCCAATTATAAAACCTGATTACCAAACCCTAATCCATATTTTTTTACGATTGCGCTTCCGTCTACTCTGTTGTGTTCATCATTCTCTCTAAAATGTTCACTGACTTACGCGAACCTTCTCTGTTTCCGGCGTCTTGACACACTCGATTTTAAATCATCGCACGTCCAAGTAATCCACTGCTAAAAAACTTTTCAGATAATCTGACCGTAGCTTTTGGCCGTTGTGGAAATGCTTTCTTCCCCAAATGCCGATCTGAAAAATCGGGTGACCGGAGCAGATATAAAACAAACTAATAAATACAATATCATCTTCAGGTAAAACTTATTGTTTAAAACGAAATTAAGAAATACATCATATTTTCTAATTACTTAATATCAGTTCAATAATTATTTGTTTAAACTTATTCGTCTCTCCAATATTATTGTTCATGCAACTGATTTAAATTTTTAAAAACTTTTTTTCAATTTAGTAACTTTTTTTAAAAAAAAAAAATTTCCCTCTCAAAACTATATTAGAATGAACAATTAAATTGTTGTCGATCAACAAAATTGTAAGAATAAAAAAACAGGTTAATCTTATTTTTAAAAATCGGATACTCTAATTTTTTTTTCAATAAACAATAAATTAATTTATATAATAAAATGTTAACTTAAAAATACTGGAATGTATTATCTGTTTCATCATTAAATAACTATAATTGTAGATTAACATGTATTGAAAATAGATAAGTATGATGCATTATATACCTTAAAATGATGTAATTTCATTTAATTGGTATTTAATTAATACCTTAAAATGATGCAATTTCATTTAGGCGGGAAATTGATTGGCAAAAAACATTTTGCTATTATATAGAGTAAGATAAAGATATGTAGGGAAAAGGGTCAAATATGCCCTAAACTTTACCCCAAAAGTCAATTAGTCCTCTAAACTTTATAAAAGTGCAATTAAACTCTCAAACATGTCAAATGAAGTCAATGAAACTCAAAAACGGATAAATGACTTGTTATTACATGTTATTTCAATTCCGACCAGATCTGGTCGTTCTTCCCTATCTTCTCCAATAGAGAAGAACGGCCATCATATCATGTTGACCAACTATTAGAAAAATGTTTTCCAAAAATTGTAAAAACTTATTTGAAACTTACGTTTCCGACAATAAACACATGTTCAAATGATTTTTTTTTTTTTTGTTTTTTGTTTTTTTTTTTTTTTATATTGTCCACTTTTTAAAATCTTTCTATTTTTGTCTAGATTGTAGGGATTCTCTATCTTAGCCTTTGTTGTTTGGTAGGCTCTTGTCCCACGAACTAACCTTATTTTGCATTGTTGGACTTTTCATGCTACTGCTGCGACCTGCGAGAACCTGGAAACTGGAAAGTGTGGAATGCTCCGTCACTGCCCACCTCATTTCCACCAATCCTTTATGACTAACTGAATAAAAGAATGGCTCACAGACTCATCATTCAAAAAGCTAAGGTTTTCTGATCTTCTGGAGGCCGGCCAGCCGCCTTGAAAATCTCTGCACTGCACCTTCTTCTCACCTCCGCTCCTCCATGCATAAATGCATGCCTCTCTCGTCGTACTATAAATACCCGACAACCATCGACTCTTTAGTGTACCAAAACATTAACCAACGTAACACTCAAACTAACCGCGATCAACTAAAAAGATCTAGCTAGCTAGCTATATATCTCGACCAAATGGCCAGAGGCAACCTCATTATTTCTTTGGTCTTTTTCATGGCTGTTTTTATTGCGTGTTCTTTGGTTTTCAGTGTCGTCGGAGCTCGTCCCCTCCTTAGTCTCGAGCATCAGAGCGCTGAAAACGCCGCAATTGCGAAGATTATGGATGAACTGCACGTTGCGGGAATGAAGCCGGAAGGTCAGAATTCTAGGGGAGAAGGCCACAGCTCCACGGATGATCTGATTACCATTGGGGATATCAAGAACTCTGGACCGAGCCCAGGAGCAAATCATTAATTTCTTCGCTCTTTCATTATATATGCTGTTTCAATTCCTTCTTCTCCCAGTGAATTGCAGCCTTTAGAAATTAGTTGATCCTCTATATATGTGATTTTTTGATTATTTATTTATTTATGAATATTGTAATTGGAGTTTTAGTGATTGTATTTAATTTGTTGAATATTTATGTGATGACTGTAATTGGCTTGTTTAATCTTCGGTGAAACTCAACAAGTTTAGTGATATATTTGAAACTTTAAAAAAAGAATTTCACCCATTTTGATAGGTGCATTATTGGGCATCGATAAGGATATTATTATTATTATTATTATTATTATATTATTATTATTATTATTATTATTAGAACAAACCTCAGTTTCATAATCAGTGGATTGGGGGGGGGGGGGGGGGTGTTGGTGCGTGCGACACAAAGTTAGGTTTGGGTGTCATAATCAGTGGATGGGGGAAGTTCCAGGAAAGTAAATGAGGGTATTTAATTTGATATTTGCAAAGAATGCTTCAATTCGATGATTGAATGCTATATGCTTAAGATGGGTAAGTTGGTTGCGTTTCATTCAAACAAAACCCATTCTAACCTAGGCTGGCGATGACTTCAAATATTGGAATTAAATACTTAATAATTGTAATGAGTTAAAAATGATAATAATTGGTGATCTTGCACTTATGAAAATTTAATTAAGTTAGCGTCAATTATCTCCTTACCTCATTAACATGTTTCTTACATGCCATCTTACCGTAAATATCGGAATACCATTGAAAGACATAGGGCCCCCACACCCCAACCCGAGAGAACATCTGAAAGGATTATGGTAACTCAACTAAACATGAACCACATATGCATATAAATGTCCATATATAGTCAATAATGACAATGGGTCATTCGTTTACATAAAAATATATTCATCTACATATATAAACTATATGATACAATTAACATTATCAATCTTCATCCACTCTCAAACATTTCATAAAATATCCTAAGCCCCGAAATCTCTATAAACTAATAATGTACATATACAAAGTTTCTTGAAACACAATGAAAGTAGGCAATAAAAATGATACTAAACTTTATGATCACTGACATATTTGAATTCATATACAATAGCAATATAGACAAAATTAACATGATTATAGATATAAATTCGATAATAATGTACAAAATTCACAACCTTAGCCCGCTAGAAGTGGATTGAAACCACTGACACAAGAATTTTCACTCCTTTAATTGCTCAACCATTGAGTTTGTCCCTTAGGGCATCCTCAATAGTTGAGGATTTTACCCCAGATTTTTGTGGGTCCCAACATTCACCTCATCATCTGCTATCTCACTCAATCACAAAATCTCATCTTCCCATTAATTTTAAATTTTTTACAACTTTTTGTTGACCCATCATTTTATTTCCCTATTTTAATTATTTTTTTATTTATTATCATTCTAAAAATTATAATTATAAATTTGATAAAAATATTATTAATAATTATAAATTTAATAATATTATTATTGATAATTAAGAATTTTAATTTAATTAATAAATATATATTTAATAATAATAATAACTTAAAATTAAATAAAATAAAATCAATAATTAAAAAATAAAAACAAAAATTTAACAGGTTAAATTAAAAATTAAAAACTAAAATAAAACAAAACAAAAAAAAAAAACAAAAAAAAAAACAAAAAGCTGGCCGTTGCAAATGCAACGGCCAGCAAAATAACATTTAAAAGGGGTTTTCAAAAAAAATAAAAAATTAAAAGGGGTGTGTCAGAACGTTGTGGGCTGTGGTGGGTCATATGCCTCTGCAAAATTTCTTTCTTTGCAGGAGAAAAATGACCTGAAATTTTGTTCTTCCCATTTGTCTAAAATCCCCAAATGTAACTTTTACTATTCCAAAATCTCCTTAAATCAAACAAATGGGGATGCCCTTAGATCATTAATCTTGATGTGGTTAGTGACTTGGTGAAGATCAGTTACAATTGTCTTTTGTAGAGATGTAGTTTAATTGTAGTTTCATTAATGCTACTTGGTGAAGATAATTGAAGCATGTGTTCCATCTCAACTAAAAGTCTAAGTTGATAGTTGAATTGCATATTAATGGTGATATGCTCAACACTCCGGCTCTAATACCAAATTGAAGAATGTGTTCCATCTCAACTAACTGATAGTTGGATTGTACATTAATGATGATATGCTCAACAAAGATGAGTTGGATTTTGCAGCCAGCACTAACGTAACGAAGCTACCTGGTATCTTCCATCGGAAAATTCAAGGTGTCGTCAGGGGTGGCGGCACAGCGCAGCCTCTCTCCGTCGTCGGTTCCATTTTCCAATTGTCTTCCACAATATAATGCAGTCAGAGTCAAACATTCGACCAACGCCACGTCCTTTCTCTTTCCATATGCACCTTACTCCACTAGTCCACTCCATGCACCACTATTTATACGTCCATATACACTTAACAGTAAACTCACCCAAACGCCATAACACTACTACATATTTTATTAAACAAATATCTCCCTTATTATATTAGCTTCAAAAGGTCGACAGATAATATAATTTAATCTATCTATCGACATTATATTAAAGAATATAATGGAGATGATGAGATTATTGAGGGTGTTGTTCGTTATTGTGTTGGTCACCAGTTGTTTGCTTGTCGGAAACATCGAAGCTCGTCCTCTCGGCGTTAACGTTGTTGCCGATAAAGCCGCTTCTGCCGGAGGAGATATCATCAGAAGAGGAACATTATCAGTGCACAAAATTAACTCCAAAAACGCAAAGCTTTTTGCTGAAATCAATTCTTCCACTCCCAGCCCCGGCGAAGGCAACTAGCTAGCAGCGAAGGCAACCCCATAATATATAATTATAAATTATATATATATAGTTTGCACCATAAGATCAGATTTATTAAATTACTCCGTACTATTTTTACTAGTCTTATTGCTTTCAATTTTATTACATTCTCTTTATTCAATCCTTTTAGGAATATGTACTGTGCTCGATCAAAGTTTAAGTGAATAAGATTTTTATATATATTTAAGACAAATTTTGTTCAGTATCAATTTTTATCCATATAAGTTTTGTAGGAGGATGCCTAATATTTTTAAATTAAAATATAATATTATTCTAAAATTCATAAAATTTATTATATTTTAATTAAAAGTATTACGTGTCTCACAGAATATTTACTATTTCGTATGTATCCTAACCACTCTAAAGGCAAAACTAAGACAAGCTCATCATGGCTTTACTTATAAAAGTGATGGGAGGAAAAAAAAATTTGAAATTTTTTCTTTTTTAACATTTATAATTATTTACAAGGTAATAGTAACATGTGACATCTGATGCTTGAACTCACAATCTCCCATATGAGAGTCCAATTTAAATGTCATTAGATCACAAGGTCTTGGCTTTTTGAAGTATTTAATACATAATGATTTGATTTATATTAGAGTATTAAAACTATAAAATTTAAAATTTTGTAACTACTTTTAGATATTTAATAAATTCAGTAAAAAAATAACTATAAGTCTATAACAGAGGAATTCTATCTTTTTTCCAGAGTAAATATGATTACCAAAATAGGAGGGAAGGATTAAAAAGGGGGGAAAAAGCTGGTTAAACCGCGACAAGAGGACCGCCATATCTCCTCCGCTAGTGGCCGTACGCCACCACTAGTATCCGCCGTTTCTCTCAATTGATAAGTTCAGGAGAGCGAAGTGCTTTGATCCTTTACCGATTGTTCCAGAAGAACCTTTTTGAGACTCTTTAATTTCTTTTTTTCCATAAACAAAAATTCAACGAGAAGCTCGTAAAATGGGGAACTTAAAGGCGATGGTTACGGACGATTCCGACACCGTTTCGGACGATGACGGCGCCACCACTGTTACTGACTCGCCATCGTCATCGCCGCCTCCACATTCGTCATCCCTCTCCGGCCCCTTCGAAGAAGGAGAAGAAGTCCTTGCTTATCACAACCAATGTGTGTACAAAGCTAAGGTAAAGCTACTCCCTCTATTCTGATCTAAACCCTCGTTTCTAAGCAGCCTCAAAGAAAACAAATAACAAAAGCAGTAAAGGAAATGATTGATTAAATTGTTAACCATGTTGATTTCTGGGAATAAGTATATATTTCTTTGCTCAAACATGCTAATTGAATGTTTGTTTCTCATTTGTTCGTTAGAAGAACCTAGTATCATAAAAATGTTCTCAATTTTGAAATGATGCTAGAATTACAAGGTACTAGATATGGAGTATTGTAGTTGGAGTATACCTTAATTGTAATAAAGGTTTCTCTACAACACCAGTCTTTGTAGAGTGCAATAACAGTTATAGGGTGGCAGACATATTTGGTTATGCTTTTGGAGTCATTCGAGATGCTTGAATGCTTATGGTGGATTCTATTGGTTTATCCATCAACCATTTCCCCCCTATAACTCCTGAACTCATACTTTTGTTGTTGTTTTCTTTTTTTTTTTTTTGGAATCATTTTGGGTGGGAAGATTCAAAAGACTCGATTTGTGAAGGCAGAATGGGAGTATTTTGTTCACTATACCGTGAGTAATGTGCCTCTAGACTTATTTATTTTTGACATCTTGCTGCATAGAATGAAACTTAACCTTATGCATTAATTATGAGATATTGACACATAGTGCATTTGATTCCTTGCAGGGTTGGAACAAAAAGTGAGTATATCTACCACATCCTGCTTCTATGATGTCAGAAGTTTAATGAATTCTGAATAAATTTCTTTCAAAGAGGCTAGTTGTTCCCAAATCTGAGAATTGTTTGATCTGTACACATGTTCAGCAGCATATTGCTGTTCAAAGACCCTCTCTCCCCCAAATTTGGAGAGATTGACCAGTGGTTTTAAATGTGTTGAGGTCTTAGCATTTGAGCTTTTTGGAAATTTTATCAATGACTTTTTTTTAACAGCTGGGATGAATGGTTGGGCATAGATCGATTGATGAAAGTCACTGAAGAGAACTTACGAAAACAGCAGGAGCTTAATAATAAATATGACATGAAGAAGAACGAAAAGGCCAGGCGTGGATCACAATTAAAAGCAAAATGTTCTACTGGTTAGGTTGCTAACTTTATGCTTTATGATTTAAATTTACTGATTCAGCATCTACTGTTTTGTCCCGTATCCCGCCTATCTTGGGGTTTTGTGTCTATGTGTGTATTTAGTGCGAATACATAGTGAGCCCTTCTTTTTGTCTATGGAGAAAAAGTACTGTATATTGTTAGATCTACATATGACCTAATGGTCAACAGCCAAGCACTTGGCCAGTAAATCAATCTGGTAAAAAATGCCTTTCTGCTATACATTGTGCCTGAAGAATGTCCATGTGTGAGCATGGTGACTCTGAACTCCAACCCCACTAAAGCACAGAAAAGTAGACTGAAGGGTTATCATGTTTACTAACATTAGAGGTTTTTCTTTGTGTTTATATCAAAATAAATAACTTTCTATTTTTCCTTCTTTGATTAGGTGTAGGATTCATTTTAAAACTCTAAGATGTGGTTGATTTGATTACAATTGCTAATTATTTTGTAGAAGGCTTTAACTGTGCTGGTTCTATTTTTCATCTATCAATCTGGGGATATCCTTTTTAATTATTATCAACTTCATGTGTTGGGATTCTTATTCAATATGATTTATAAGGTGGTACTAAATAATTGTGGCAGGGACAAGAGCTAAAAGGCAAAAGAAAGATGTTCAAAAGGTAAACCTCTGTCTCATTCATTTTAGTGTAAATCATGACATATGGGGTTTTCTGTCTGTCTTTGTTTGCGTGTAACATTATCTGACTCTTTGATTGTTGCTTATTGGAGTTTGTACTATTGTTTGAAGAAGAAAAGTGGTAATGGGCTTTAGGTCTCAAAAGAACTATCCTTGTAGTGAAATCTCTAATGCACAAATGCATTGTTTTCTTAAAGTTAATGGTGCTGTTGGCTGTTAAATTGCTTATACTTCATTGCTGTCTATCTTGATCCAGTTAGATATTGCACATTGGCTCTACAATGCTGGCTTCCTAGTGCATTTCTATCAATTCCTATATGTAGAGTCAGACCTCCCAAAGCATTGTACTCAACTTTTCTTTAATGATAATATATAGGCATTGGGTTGAATTGTTTTATCACTTTTTCCAGGACAAAGGTGTCCTACCTTCAGAGAAGCTTGGTTTTAACATTCAAATTCCATCCTCATTAAAGAAGCAGCTGGTTGATGATTGTGAATTTATTACCCATTTGGGCAAGGTAAAAAAGAAGCATTCTCTGTATGTATACATTGAAATTCAGTTTGGTGTAAGTTTATTAAGCTCTGTTTAACATTTGTTTGGTGTACATATAAAGTTAGCATAAGTGCATTTAGTTCAATGAAAAAAATCTAAATAAAGTGCATAGGTCATAACAAGTGTAAGGTATTAATGCCTTTTATATACATATTTTGCAGCTTGTCCAACTTCCTCGTTCTCCGAGTGTAAATGAAATACTAAGCAAGTATAGTGACTATCGCCTAAAAAAGGATGGAATGTGAGTTCACCCTATCTTGATAATTTGTTATTGCAAGTTGTTTCTTTTTATTAGTGACTTTTGCATGATATGTTAATTCTTTGAAGCTGAAATTTCTCAAGTCTTTATTCTAATGGAATGTGAATATTTATACTAAATATGTTTTTGTTAGTAATTAGGTCTCATTATACTTTAAAAACTAGTTCGTTTATCAAGAAATAAAATTAGTATAATGGTTTTCACTCTTTTTTCTTCTTGTTTTGTTTCTTTCTTTCTTTATTTATTTGGGGGCCGGGGGGAGGGGGACGTCAAAATGGGGGATGGGGTGGGGTGATGTGATTTGAACCCAGGTCTACCACTTGAACCTCTTTCTTCATATATCTATGCTTAATGATATTCATGTTGGTTGTCATAAGCGCCACAAGTTGTATTGTCTGTTCAGCTTGTGAGGATGGATATTGTGGTTCTGATGTTCAATATTTTTGGTGGGTGAAGAATTGCTGATTCAGTAAGCGAAATTCTTAGTGGATTGCAATGTTACTTTGACAAAGCATTGTCTGCTATGCTCCTTTACAAGAATGAGCGCGAGCAATATCAAGAAGCAATTACAGATGGAGTCTCTCCTTCATCTGTGTATGGTGCTGAGCATCTATTACGTTTGTTTGGTATGCTCATGTTTTTTGTCTGCAGTTTTATTTGCATCTATTAGACTACTACATATGGTTGGTACACTAAGGTTTATTGCTCCACAGTTTTATTTGGAACACATCTTCCAATGCCCATAGGTATACACCAAACAAATTTATAGAACAAAGAAAGAGTTAAAATGATTCAAACATGCTTTTCCCAAATTAGGAGTTCCTAGTGCTGTGAAAAATCTTTCATATCTTAGGAACCATGCTATTACTTATTATTTAGAAATCCTTACTAAGTCAAACATTTATCATCCTTACTAAGTCAAAGCTGTCATCCAATGAGAGTTGGTAAGTTGTGCCATGTATGATACTTAGGACATCATGCATGCTAGATTCTACAAATTTGCCTACACGTATTATTGACATGATGCTTTACCCCACCCCCCCCCACCCAAAATAAAAGACTGACCTTTTTGCCACCAGCTGTTCATCGAATTCTAAGTCTCATAATTGAACCAATTTTCCTAAGGCCTTCATTAGGAAAGTTAATTAGCTGTCAACATCAACTTAATGACACTAATTGAAACAAATGCCCCTAGTTCCTTGCATTATTTGAATAAATTAAATTTCTTGTGCTTTGCAGTTAAATTTCCTGAAATATTGCACCATGCAAATATTGAGGATGAGACAGTAACTGAGTTGCGACAGAAATTGCAGGACTTCCTCAGGTACAGTGATCTTGTCTATTTACTTATTTTTTTTATAAAAAAAAAAAAAAAAAACTTCCCTGTTTGTTAACTTACATTCACAATATCATCATCCCATACTGCCATGCATATCAGTACAAGGAGGAAGAATGGGGTTTGGTGCAATCTCATCTCTTGATGACTAACATTCTGGTGTCCCACAGTTACAAAGTTTGTATAGGGCTAGCTTTAGCTTGCAGTCAATTGATTTCTCTCATGATGTTTTTTTCTCTGTCACCTCAGTGGACAGACACGAATTACATGTGCAAACCAATAATTTTTTTTAAAAAAAAGAAAAAGAAAAAGGGATAATTTCACTTGGAGTCTGGCTGTGTTTCTAGGCGAAAGCTGTTTAACATTTTTACATTAGTTATTGGTTTTGAAATTACCCAGTAGTCATCAAATTTAGGGGAGTGAGGGAGATATTGGACATTGCTTATTAAACAGATGGTTTGGGTATTTTCCAACAACTTACTGGGCATTCCAACTTCATTCTATTCCCAAACAGGTTCCTACAGAAGAATCAAAGCTCATTTTTCCTATCATCATACATTGATCCAGAAGGTTCAGATGTTGTCAACAAGAAAGGAGATGACTGAGCTCAAAACGTAGTAAAACTTATGCTCTGTATAAGTGCCTCCATCTTGCCCTCAAGCCCCCTCCCTCCACCCCATTTGTTCTAAGAAATTGGTTGGTTGCATTGTACATGTTGCTTTTGTCTGGTGAATAGCAACAGCAGGTGCTGTTATTTTGTAATGCTCGTTTTATACAGTTGAAACTCTGCACCTTCAAAAGGCTTCAATCCCAGGCTCCTTTTTTGCTGTTTATTTAATATTAATATGCAGAGAAACATCTTCAAAGTTCATTTCCAAGACTCATTTTTTTCTTCTAATCGCTGGTTATCCAGTTTATGAGTAACAATCGGTCATGAAATTATCTGCTTTACTGGCTGCCCTAAACCCAGTAAACGAACAATATAAACGCGCTCCCATAATTTTAAACGTTCGTTTTTAGAATAAAGGATTTGGCTTGTAATTTTTAGGTCCTTGATATGAAAGACTATGCTTGCTTGTTGCTTTGAATTTTTTTTTTTTCTTTTTTTAATGCGTTTTCTCCTGAACAGGCCATATTTTCCAGTTATTCCCAACTTAAAAATTATTTTTCATCTCCTAATCACCAACGCTACTAAACAAATTAGCCATCAATCTTGGTGATGCCAATTCGATTAACAATGGCGTTTTGGACTGCCTCAGTCTGAAAACAGAGGCGCCCGTGTTCAATCCCGGACATGTAGTCCCTCACTTCTTTCCTTATCACATCCTGTAGCATCGCCAAGAACTCTGGGCTAAAGAGCCGTTTCTCCGCCGTTGGAGGTGAGCCAAATTGGAAGCTTCCATAGGTTTGAGGCAGAAAAGATGATACTGGTGGAGCCATTTGAGGAAGAGAAACTGGAGCAGGGGACGGTTGGGATACAGAATGCGGAATTTCAGAGCAATCGGATCCGGGCACACAGAGACTCAGAGAGGTAATAGGGTTGGTAGCAGATGAAACAGTTTCCGGAGGAGGAACGACGCCGGCGGCCCGCGCAACTGGTCGGTAAACATGCGGAGGAACGCCACCTGAGAGACTAGAAGAGCTCAAATCGGACCCCGGAGGGCTATCCGGAGCCGAAAACAGACCGGAAGATCCTTTCACAGGCTGAGGCTGTTGAGGCGGCTTGACGAAGCTTTTGGCCTTGGAAACGCACTTGCGTTTGAGTGTAGAGTTCCAGTGATTCTTAATAGCGTTATCCGTCCGGCCATGTAGCAACCGGGCAATGGTGGCCCACTTGTTACCGAACTTAGAATGCGACCGTATGATAATCTCATCCTCTTCCGCCGTGAACGCCCGGTGCTCCACCTGCGGCGACAGCTGGTTACACCACCGGAGCCGGCACGACTTTCCGGATCTACCACAAATAGATTTGCTGATCAGAGACCAATTCCTCGCACCGTACTTCTCCACCAGCTTCTGTAACAGCTCATCTTCTTCCGGGCTCCACGGACCCTTGATCCGATCCGTAACCTTTCTCCGTGCGCTAGTCGCCATTAACTCAACACAGAAAAAAAAAAAAAAAAAAAAAACCTAACTTACACAGATACTAAAGGCCAGAAGCTGAAAGTGTTTAAACGGCGCAGAGGCGTACGCGCCTCCGTGAAAAATGCAGCCATGGCCATAGAAGATAGGAGAATCTATATAAGGAGAGTGCAGGCAAGGCAAGCATAGAATGATAGAGACGAGGCGTTGAGTCGGTGGAGTCAGAGGCAGTTACTTCATTACTTGTAAACAGCTGGCAATTCATACCCCTCCACTTTTCAATACGAACTCGACACCTAATGTGTAACAAATTACTAAAATACAAAATGTTACAAATAAAAAAAAAAATTATATTGCTATTAAAAGTAGTTGATAATTAACGAATAATTTGTTTAAAAATTTGGCATTTTTCTATTCCATTTGATTATATATTTGAGATAACTCAGCTAAGTTGGTCAAAGTGATTGTAGTTTGAGTTGATCAGTTATGAATAACCTAGACTAGTTTATCTAATTTTTCCAGTCACTCAATTTTTTGGGACCATTTTAGGTTTTTTTTTTTTTTTTTTTTTTTTTTTTTTTTTGAAATATGTTATCTCTTGCTTTATCACAGTTTGATATTGTAACGGCTTTGGAAGTTAGAGTACATAATTCATGAATATATGTGACGGTTTTGGGAGTTATTACAGCAGTAATAATTTATAACAAC